CTGGGTTGACAAGATCAGAAATGAGGAGATGATAAGCCACCTGGGAAAGCCAAGGGAAATATATCAAAACAATTAAAAAACTAAAGTTAGAATATTTCAGACATGTGATGTGACACCCAGAAAAGTACAGCATACTCCATTTAATCCTCCAGGGAAAGATTGAAGGCAAACGAGGTCCAGGCAGAAGAAGAACATCATGGCTTCAAAATCTAAGGGACTGGTTTGGACAAAACTCAGCAGCACTTTTTCATGTGGCTGCTGATAAAAACAGGATCACCAACATGATCACCAATGTCCGATAACAGATATGGCACAAGAAGAAGAAAAAAATATTAATAAATGGAACGGTTTGCCTTCAGAAATTGTAGGTTCTCTGTCACTGGAGGTTTTTAAGAAGAGATTGGACAGCCATTTTTTAGGAATGATACAGGGTCCCCTGCTTGAACATGGGGTTGGAGGAGAAGTCCTCCAAGGTCCCTTCCAACTCTGTTATTCTGTATTCTGGAGGATGAAAATAAGGAGTTAGTTCCTTGATGCCTTTGTAGGTAGGAATATGGCTTATTCACTCCCTATTTCTATTATCCTGATCAAATCCTAATGTAATATAATGATCACTTTGCGGAGACAGAGATCAAATGTAGGCAATATGGTATTTGAACACAGCCAATCAAAAAACTTGTAAGAATCTTACATATCTTATAGTTTGCTAATTATTATAGGGTCTCCCGCCTGAAGACGTGGTTGGAGTAGAAGACCTCTAAGGTCCCTTCCAACTATGTTTTTCTCTAATTCTGTAATTTTGTAGAGATATAAAATTCAGATGAATTTAAGGCCCTGAAATGCACCCTTGATGTAATCCTAACTCTCAGCTATTCCATTCATAAGCCAAATGTAAAGAGAGCACTTTATATGGAAAATCTCAACTATCCCTTCTGTGTTCCAGAGGGTTTACCCCAGTGTGGATCCAGCCTCCAGCAGTGACTCCAATTGCAAAACCTGGTTTGCTAGTGAAAGCCCACAAGGCATCAGATTTGCCTTTTCACTTACAGGAAGTGAAAAGAGGTTTGTTTTTATGTGAACTTAACACCAAACATTTATTTACTTTTTCATGAAGGGTTGGAATTTTGTGGATATTTTCTAATGATGTGGTCGCAAAAACATGCTTTTTTAAAAAAAACAAATGATGCTCGAATGGATTTTGGATTGTAGTCCACCAATCAAAATACACAGGCCCCTCTTGCCAGAAGAGATGGCAGGAGATGATTGAGATGGGATCTTGGGAGATATCCTATGACTGACCTGCATTTTTCAATTAATACTTGGAAGAGTGGCTGCTTAAACAAACTAACAACTAACAACCAATGTTCCACCCCTATTTATGTTGTGGTTTTGTGTCTGTGTACGACTCATGTTGTTATTGCAACATTGTCTTATTTTTTAATTCTCCAGTTTCCCCTACTGAGGACTAGATGTACTCAAAGTGGTTAAGGAAAGATTTTATCTCGGTCACTTTCTGAACTGGATTTCCACAAGCTTCCTAGTTCTTTAATGTTACTACATATAAACATGTCTCCATGGCACTGATTGCACATCTGCAAGGAATGCCAGCTACAATCCAAAATGA